GGGCACAAAATGTTATTAGTTGGTGTCTATTCCAAGATCCTACCTTCCCAATTATTTAAGGGTGAGATGTTGGTATCTCTTTGTCTCAGTTCCCAGTTTTTTAATGCTGGGTGGTGTTAAAGTTATCCCCCCCCTGATATTTCCAGTTCTCATCCAGAAACGAGAAGAACTGATTCCAACAGATGTGCCATCCTCTCTAAAATAGTATAATTAGTAATAAAGATAGCATCAAGTGCAGTTTATAAACTCTCAAATTGTGTAACTTAATTTTATCACTTGAAACATAGAAGCAAAATCCTTAGTGGGAGCTTGTATGCAGAGTGCTTTTACAATGTGATGGGGGACATTTAAGAAAGATGTTGGATAAGACAGAGAGAACTGAAAGAAATAATGTAGATGTAATTTTGGAGGACAAATGTTGCTCATAACAACTTAGGGGAGTGGGAGAATAGGGCAGAAGGGAAAGAATGGAAGGATAATCAAGGGATTAACAAAGTTAACCAGAAAAATTAGATTATTCACTCAAATGAAAATATGACGAAGAGCTGGCAAGGAAACTCAACAGACTAAGTGCCTGCTTAGGCAAGTGCAAGGCTGAGTTTTGATCCTTAGCTCTGTGCCCTGCTAGTCCTGCCCTCTTGTGTGCTGAGCTATGTACTGAGACTGGGTTTGGTGGCACATGCCTGTAGTCCTAGTGTAGGGAGGCTGAAAACAGGTTGATCTCCACAAGTCGAATGGCATAGTGAGACCCTATGCCAAATACATTAAAACAAACCGGAAAAGAAAATATGATCAAATCTACAGAGGTAAATTTAGGAAAAAGGGATTTAAGAGACATTAATTTTGGGGAAAAATACATGAAAAATACAAAAGGGAAATTAAATTTAAGCAAACTAGGAAAGAAAGAAAAGAAAATATCAAAATATTTTTAAAAATGTTCCTCTGATACTCACCAAGAGTCCAGAACTGCTGGATAACTCCACAACTCTTCAGTAGAGTTTGTGTTGGACTTGAGGATGGTGCTGGGATCTGGGTATGGGGTCCTGGGCCGAGTCTGTAGCCAGTATGTTCTTATTCTTTGACAGACAATCTCGATGCGCCATTTCCCTCAGCATCTCTCTTACAATTGTTGTCCTGCTGTCACAGAGAGAATGGTGGCTGCTCACAGTGTGATGGTTCACTGGCTCCTCGGTGTCCTCACTTAGCCTTCTGTGCTCCTCCTGCACGAGCAAGTGTCTGTCCTCTAAGATCATTTGCTGAAAGGAGGGATGGGATGCAGTGTTCTCTTCTGCTTCTGCTGCTGCCACCCAGGACTGATCAGTCCCAATTTTTACTACTCACCTGCAGGGGCAGAGCTGAATTTCCAATAGTTACTGTACATTTTGTGCCTCTGTTGTACTCTGTAATATTATCAGTGTGTTGAGGGGAAGCTGTTGGGTGCCTTTCAGCTTTTATCCCTGTCATGACAGCCCAGGGTTGCACGGTCCCATGGTGTAGTGCTGTGTTTCCTCAAGCCTCTCTGACCACATGTCACATGGGAGATGTCCACTGTTCCATTCACCACACACTGCTGTCATCTTTAATCTTGTTCTAGAGATTACACTTAGTGCTCTGATGCACAAAAAAAGGAAGGAAAAGGGAAGCCTAGTGTAACTTCAGAAGAGAGAGAAGACCTCTCATTCCTGCGTGTGGGAGGAATTTACTCCTTGTCTGCAGTGTCCTGTTTGGAGGAAGGCAAAAAGGCAGTGCACATTATATCCCAAGTCTATTCTTTTTTTTTTTGCATAGAACTACATCATTTTTATTTTGCATACTTTAATTTCAGAACAAAATTAACAAAAAATAAGATCTCAATACATGATATCCAACTCTGCTGTCAAATTATGGAGGGGATGGGTATCAAGACCCTTACTTCCTGCTTTCAACACAAGGCAGGTGAAATTAGTTACTAGACTCAGCAGATGGAGAGGTGGGACAGGGCCATTCAGGCTGCTGGGGAGCAACCGGGACACTACACAGAGGACACGGGTTTCCCACAGGGGGAGCTCCTAATCCACTTCTTCCATCCAGGACGCATCCTCATCCCCTTCAAGGAGAGAGATCTCATCAGGAGCAGCAGCACGGGGCTCCTCCGCAGTCACCTCATCTTCATCGATGCCTGCACAAAGGACAAAGCTTGTAAGAACTCAGGCAGCATGAGATACACTTCAACCTGAGAACATCACCACAGCTCCCACTTACCCAGGCACAGCTTGATCATGTGGTAGATATGGTTGGAGTGAGTCTGGGGGTCTTCCAAGAAGCCAGAAGACAATAGCGCTGTTTTGAACAGCAGCACCACCAGATCCTTGACAGCCTTGTCATTCTTGTCAGCTTCGGCCTTCTGCCTCAGGGTCTCTACAATGGGGTGATCGGGGTTGATCTCCAGGTGCTTCTTGACCATCATGTAACACATGATAAAGTTGTCACGGAGGGCCTGGGCCTTCATGATCCACTCCATGTTGGCTGTCCAGCCATAGGTGCTGGTCACAATGCAGCAGGGTGAAGACACAAGTGTATGGGAAATTGTCACGTTCTCAAACTTCTTATTCAAGATTTTCTTCATGAGTTTGCACAGGTTTTCAAATTTGGCCTTGCTCTCCTCCATCTTTTTCTTCTCTTCCTCATCCTCAGGCAGCTCCATACCTTCCTTGGTCACAGGACCAAGCTGTTCCCATCAAACTCCTTGAGTTGCTGCACACAGTACTCATCGATGGGCTTAGTCATGTATACCACCTCAAAGTCCCATTTCCACAAACGCTCCACAAAGGCAGAGTTGGCCGACTGTTCCTTGCTCTCGCTAGTGATGTAGCAGATGGACTTCTGCATCTCCTTCATGTGAGACACCTACTCAGACAAGGACGTCATCTCATCTTCAGACTGAGAGGTGTGATAGCACACAGTTCAGAAAGGCATCACCTAATAGTGGAGTCCTCATGGATTCCAAGCTTTAGATTTTTTGAGAATGCCTCATAGAATTTCTTGTAGTTCTCTTTGTCTTCTGCCAACTCAGAAGAGTTCAAGGCATTTCTTAACAATGTTTTTATGGAAGACTTTCAGGATTTTGCTCTGCTAGAGCATTTCTCTGGAGATGTTTAAGGGCAGATCCTCTGAGTCAACCACATCACGGATAAAATTTAGGTACTTGGGGACCAACTCATCACAACTGTCCATGATGAACACACGATGGCCATATAGCTTGATGTTGTTCTTGTTCTCAAATAGGTAAAAAAAGAAAAAAAGAGCCCTCTGAGGAATGAATAGCAATGCCCTGAATTCTAGCTAACCTTCCACTAGAAGTGCTTGATGCCGGTGGTCTTCCTAGTCATCGGTGAGGCTTTTGTAAAACTCTCTATATTCCTCTTGAGTGATGTCATCAGGGTTTCTGGTCAAAATGTACTTGGTCTTGTTCATTTCCTCATGATCAATGTATTTCTCCTTAATCTTCTTGGTTTTCTCTTTCTTTCTTTCTTTCTTTCTTTCTTTCTTTCTTTCTTTCTTTCTTTCTTTCTTTCTTTCTTGTGTGTGTGTGGAGCCAGGGATTGAACTCAGGTCCTTGTGCTTGCCAGGCAAGCACTTATTCAACTGAGCTATTTTCCCTGGCCCTTGGTTTTCTTTTTCTTATTCTTTCCAGTATCATCCTCTTCAGCTGAGCCCACATCTTCAATCTTGGGCTTCTCTTCATCATCCTTATCTTCCTTTTCTTTTTCACTGTTTTCTTCCTCTGCCTCATCATCTCTGATTTCTTTCTCTCGTTCTTTCTCCAGATAAAGGGAGATGGGGTAGCCAATGAACTGGGAGTGCTTCTTTACCACCTCTTCAACCCACCTTTCCTCCAAGTACTCTATATGCTTTTCTTTGAGATGGAGGATCACCTTGGTGTCTTGGACAACGGGCTCCCCATGCTCAGCATGGACAGTGAATGATTCCCCAGCATAAGATTCCCAGGTGTACCGCTCGTCATCATTGTGCCTTGTGATTATGACAGGTTTCTCTGCAGCCAAATAGGCAGAATAAAATCCAACACCAAACCGCCCAATCATGGAGATGTCTGCACCAGCATGAAGAGCCTCCATGAATGTTTTCATGCCCAACTTAGCAATTGTTCCCAAGATGTTTATGAGGTCAGCCTTGGTCATGCCAATGCCTGTGTCCACCAAAGTCAGTGTCCACTCCTGATGGCTGGGTATGATGTCAATCTTCAGCTCTTTGCCACTGTCCAACTTGGAAGGGTCTGTCAGGTTCTCATACTGGATCTTGTCCAAGGCATCGGAAGCATTAGAGATCAATCCCTGAAGGAAAATTTCCTTGTTGGAGTAGAAGGTATTAATGATGAAAGACATGAGCTGGGCAATTTCTGCCTGAAAGGTGAAAGTCTCCACCTCCTCCTACTCATGATGCATCTCCTCAGGCACCTTGACCGCAAAGAGCTGGGATACAAGACAGCAAGTCAGCTCAGACAGTGTCAAGTGCACCGCAGAAGCAGAACTGTGCAGTGGTGACTCAAGAGACCCAAGCCTACTCTGTAGGATTTAACTGCCCACCATTTCAGTACATTACATCATCCTCTGCACTTTGTCCTTTTCTTTCTTCTTGTTCCTCCTCAAAGATTCCAAAAATGTCAGGAAGTTGTCCTAATCCTGTGACCCATCAGGTGCCAGATGGGCTGGCCAGTCACTCCACAAAGTCCTTTATCTCTGTCTTTGTAGATGTATAAGTCTATTGTTTATATTTGATTTTGGTTTCAGAGTCTACATCTTCCCTTGTCTTTCATTTTCCTCTTTCTAGTTGAATTTCTCTGGGTAACTCTGAAAGAAGCTCTTCCTCAACCCAGCTATTTTGGGTCAAGTAGCATACTTAATTGAATAGGTTGCCATTGTACATGTGCCCTTAAATGGTACATATTTGGTGAAGGAAGAAGCTAAGTAGAAAGCATAACCAAGAAATTACATGACACATTATCACTGGATAATGCTATGCAAACAATTATCTCGATATGGATTCGTGTCCATTACAGTCTCCGTGGCTGCAGGGGAAGATTCTGATGTGGAGGGAACATTTTGCAATCCAGATTTCTCATGCATTTTCTTGTGACGATAATATGTGGAAGACTGGCGAAAGCTTCTTTTACAAAAGGGGCACTTATAGGGCTTCTCTCCTGTATGTATTCTCTGGTGAGCCCGCAGGTTGGTTTTGTGTGTAAAGGATATTTCACATGTGGTACAAGTAAATGGCTTCTCTTTCTTATGAATCATCTGATGCACCCGTAGATCTGATTTCTGGAAGAACCCTTTCTTACACTCGGCACAAACAAATGGCCTCTCATTCTTATGTCTTCTTTGGTGGGCAGTGAAACGGGAGAAATATCTAAAGGTCTTTGGACAATCCTCACATTGGTATGGTTTGGAAAATCCAGGCACTCTTTCTTGGGGTCCCTCACAGGTGGGATTGCCTTGATTGCTGTGGTGTGTGGTGGGAGGCTCAGAAGAGGGCTGGTCTGACTCAGAGGAAGATCTTTCTTCCACATCCATAGAGACATCTAGGGATGAGTTTCCTTCATTGCCATGCTGGTTTCGTATATACTGAGGAGAGGACAGGTCTGGCATAGAAGAACCGGGTCTCACCTCTATAGAGATTTCTTCATTAAAGTTTACTTCATTGTGGTTCCACACAGTTTCTGGAGATGACTTTTTTGGTGTACAGGAAGATCCTTGTCCCTCATGCATAGAGACATGGACATCTTGGTAAGAGCTTCTTTCATTTCTGTGCTGGGTGCAGCCAAGCTCAAGGGAGGGCAAATCTGACCCCAAGGAAGATCCTGAACACACATCCTTAAAAAGTACTTGCTTAGGGGTTCCTTCATTGCTATGATGATTAGGGACAGGCTCAGACAAGGGCTGGACTGATCCAGAAGATGGTTCTTGGCCCACATCCACAGGAACATGTTGGTAACTCTTGTGGGGCTCTTCCAGCAACCTACATGTACCTAGCATTGCTCTTCTGGTAGTGTGTGCATTTTCCCAAGAATCACACTCCTCTTCAGGGCTAGAACCATTGTGTTCAGGGATAATGAGCATGGAAACTATTTTATTCCTTGGATTAGGACCATTGTCATTTACTGGTGGTATTTCCCAAGAACTGTTGTCTCTACCTTCTTCAAGTGCACTTCCTGTAGAAACCAAGAAGTCACTCAGTAAATTTTCACCCTAAAAAGTGCTCATCTAAAATATAACTTTGATGTGAAGATTTACAGGGCTCACCTCGTCTTGTTTCCCCAGCAGTATTCTGGGAAGCCTGGAATGGTGGCTGTATATTCTCATTCATTAAGGTTTTCACCGAAAATTTTCTTGTGAAATGAGCAATGACTTCCTTTAGGGGCATATCCTCAGAAAAGAGAGCATTTTGTCCCTGCATACAGACATGGACCTGTAAAAAGAAGGCCAGACCATAACTCCATGTGAATCTGTTGTGTGACAAAGCCTTTTAGAAGAACCTTCCTTTAACAACAGTCACAGGAGGTTTGCCTATATGTTACTTTATGTGTTCTCTCTGATGATGTTATTCTTGATATTCACATGTTGCTATGCTTTGAAGTCATTATAGATAATGTACTAGAAAATATTAAATTATTGCCCCTATGGGGCCAGGAGATGGCTCAGTGGAATAAGAGCTTCCCTGGCAAGCGCAAGGGCCTGAGTTCAATCCCTGGTCCTGAAAAAAAAATTGCCCCTGGGAATATAGAAGTTTCCTTTAATATGCTAGACATAGACACACTACTTTGTTTTAAATACATGACCTACTCTCATATGTATCTATTTAAAGATGTCATGCTTCACATGTCATTGATCAGTGAATATAAACTCATGGCTTGTTGGACCACAACTCATCCTGCTGGAAATGTATGCCACACATATATAATCTCGAGGAGGTACCTAGCAGACAAGTTTCCTTCAGTTAGACATTCTGCTAGACAGGACTTTAGTACTATAGTTGAGTGCCATTTTAAATAAAATTATGTACAATGTGAAAGTGTGGCATAATAGAATATTTGTTTATATGCAATAAACTAAAAGATTCAGAGTGTGGCCTTGTTGAGTCCCCTTGGAAATGTCAGTCCTCAGGTACCAAGGTTTTTGCATTCACACTACAAATGTTTGTTAGTGATTCTAAGTGTCTTGGGTACTGATTTCAACATTAGAAGTGTACAGCAATCTCTACTGTACACTTCTAAGAAACAGAGACCCTATAACCTACTTTAGTGCATCCTTCCTAACATAAATTGTGGCTCCTTGAGGGATCAATCAATTCTTGCCCGAGACATTTGTTTCATTTTTGAGGTCTCTGCTCAAATACATATTTGTAGGAAAAATTATTGTAATGGTTATAAAGCAATTAGTATTTTGTATGATGTACATCCTGTAGAATGAAGAAATATATACCCTTCTGCTTTTCCTTGATAGCCTAAACTAGGAGAAATTCTCCTTGATGAAGAAGCGTGATGGGGACTGTATGCTTAAATAGCTGGTTATGCAATAAATGTCTACTTTCAGTTAAGCCTGAATGACTGTGCTTATTTTTGCCCCTCTCCCCAGATGAGATCCCTTTATTTACCAACTCAGGTGGCTTCATACAGTCATCTGGAAGGTCTTCCATGAATTTCTCCAGCTCTTTACCACTTGATTCCCATCTCCTCCTCAGCATAGCCTTGTCCCTGCAGTGGCCACTGAGCATAAACTGCTCCACAGCTAACTGAGCCACAATCTCTTCCTTGCTACGCTTTTGCGTCTGCAGCCATGAATGAAACATCTCATAGAGTCTTTGTATTTCCTTTTTTGCACTTGAGTTTTGGCTGTACTGAAATGAGTTGAGCTCAATGCCTGAGAACTCAGAAGTCTCTCGTTCTGTGATGGCTGAATCTTGGCTTGAATTAAGCTCCATGTTTTCTGCTTTGAGATTGTTTGAGCAGGGTTCATAGGCACATGATTTTCTGAGATCTAAAGCCATTGTAGGCAAATGTTCTGTCTCAACGTTGATGCTTCTATTTAAGCTGCCTTATTTTCTTGGGAATGGACTTCAACAATTGCTGGATGGTTAATGGTGGTAGCTAGAAATAGAAACCATAGGTAATTAAAGATGGACATGTCACACAAAATTTCAAGCCCACACAGCTTCATGAAAATACTCTCAGACTCTGAGTGTTTGATGATAATTTTGACCATGCTGTGTTCCCACCTCACAGTTTTGCTCTATAAAACTTCCTTTGTGAGGCGAATGCTTTGCAACATTTTTGTTGTCCTTATCTCTGGTGGAGGATTCCTATTATCTAGTCCCCATTTGCCATTCATATTCGCCATCCCTTCCCACTCAAATTTCCCCTACTTTTTAAAAATTTTTATTAATTTTAATGGGAAAGAAATAGCAATGAGCCATTTTTAATAATAGGTTAGTAGGACAGTTACAATAATTAGTATGTTGCCTATTTTTGTCTTCACAGTAATTATTCACAGTAGAAGATACAGACATCTCTTGTCTAAACAAAATTAGCACAAATCTTTCTTCTCATTGACCTAAGAGAAAGTAGCTCTATATCTTTTCTAACTATTTTGTACATGCATATATATATACATGCATATAAATATTTTTCACTACAAAATGGTCTTTCATTTATATCCCCCTTTTTGTTTTGTTTTGTCAGAGATGGATGTTCCATTGCCATTAAAGAAGATGTATTTGGAGAAGTCTTTACAGAACCTTTTGATATGCTTAATGCCAGTTTAAGTATTATGGGTACTTGAATTTATGCAAAATAACCCAATATAGTCCAATAGTCCTAAATAATTGTGGGTTATCAGCAGAACTGGCAATTGTCAGAAGTTGTTGACTTGAGCCTTTTGTAGCACAGCATATTAATATTGCATTACTTTTTATATCTTGTGGTTATACTTTTTCTGCTGGATGGTTAAGACCAGATTAAAGCAAGACCTGCATAACAAAAAATATAACTTTTGTATCTGACAAGGTCAGTCAATTCCTTTCAGGATTTACATCATGTACAAAAAAGTTTGTAGATTTTTTTGTCAGTGTCAGCCATCTGGATGAATCATGGGCCCTGCTTGACAAATTTTCTCTCTATGAAAGTCTGAGAAAAATTTTTCTCTCTAGGTGACTCTCCTTAGGCAAATTATACATCATTTGTCACTGTCCTCCGTGGCCCCATAATCTCCTTCAACAGAATTTTGGGACACAACTGAGTTACAGGATGTGACAGCACAGGTTATCTTTTTTCCTGAGTCCTCACTGATCTTGAAGGTCTTGGGCCATAACACTGCCTACTTTTATTGCCCATGTTTTTCTCTAATTTTTGGTCTCCAAACTTTTGTTGTTAACCCTCCAGAAGAGAAGCTTAATGACATTACAATGTAATAAAGGTAGTTGAGGTTGACATTACTATCTGTCTGAATATCAAAAGCCTTAGAGATAACATGGAACTAATATTTTCCAACAATTATAGATATTCTAAATTTAAATCCCTATAGGATGTTAAAAATTATACATTTTTACACAGATATTTAGAAATTAAACCATATATAACTTTGTAGCATGACAGTCCTTTGACTTTTTTTCCTTGTTTCTTTCTTTTTTTAAAATATATTTTCTTAGGGAAGTGTCTACAGAGTGTTCCAGGTCTCACTACTAGATTGGACTCATAGTGATCCACTTGTTTACAGCCACCCAAGATCTGGGGTTACAGATGCACACCACTGCTCTCAGTCTCAATGGCCATCTCAGCTAGCCCTAAGGGTGGGGCTGGCAAGGCAGGCCTGGGGATAGAATCCCCAGTCCTTGCATGTTTTAATCTGCTGAGCTATGTGGTCAGCCCAAGAGATGTTTTCTTACATTTTATTAGCTGCAAGAGTGTCTTCTAGATCTGAAACTCTGTCTTCACTTTCATTCAAATGATTTTGCAAGCTTGTGATTGAGGTTTTAATTTTCTGCATATCTCTTTGAATCTGCTTCATGATCACTATATCTTTCCTATATTGTTCATGCAAGGATTCTTCCATTTCTCTATTCTCCTCTATTTTTTTTTATCAATGTCTTCTTTACAAACAGTAATTCTTTCCCTACAGCCATGATTTCTTTTTTTTACTTCAGAGATATTTTTCTGATCTGATTTCCTCTATACATTTCCGCAGGTGTTTCTTTACTTCAAATGCTATTAATTCAGGGATTTCAGTTGTGTGATTCCCAATTTCTTCTATGCTAGTGTCTACTGAATTTGTTCTGGGTGGGCTGTGGGCCTGAGGCTACACTTTGCTCCTTTTTTGGTCATTTGTTATAGCACTGTCCTCTGACTTTGGTGTAGAGCTTTGGTGCAGCTAGTACCTTATATCCTACCAATATTCTTACCCAAGAGAGATAGTGTGTTTAAGGAAGTTACAGTTTTGTATTTATAGAACTACAATTAGGAACACTAATAATGAGTAGTGATATTTAGCAGTTGACAACTTTTGTAATAATGGGTTTATACTTTAGATTGGAAGAGCAAACTTATGTCTGTGTAGCTAAGCAGATATTAAATTTGGAATTTGTATTTAAGTTAGTTCCCCAAAGTTCTGTCTGATCACCTCCTTTTGATGTACCTGGGGTCTTCCATGCATACTATTCTACCCTGGTTACCTGTTGCACCCCTTCTAGATCAGGAGAGAAAGAGAGAGGATGATCTCATAGATCTAGGACCAGTAAAGTGTCTCCACATACTATGTCCAGATCTGCCAAGTTTGAACTCATTCAGATGTTCCTGGCTTGGGTCTGGCTGCTGTGCTCAGCTTTTTCCTGTGGCAGCCTGTGGAAGTGAACCCATTGTGCCTCTCACTGCTAGATTGGCTTGGTGGTTCTGGCCCCTAGCCTATATGAAGAGACTTCAGCAGCAGAGTTTCACACCAGCCTTCTCTGATGGAGATGGTTAATGTGAGAGTGGGGGTGGTCCCACACGTACAAGCCCAGACTGGGCTGGTGCAGGAGGGGATCCTGTGGTGAGGCAGAAGTTCTCACACATGCAGGGCCTGGAATGGGACTGGAGGGGATTCAGAGATCACATGGTGGATGTTCTTACATACAGGCCAGGCCTTGGCTTGGGCTGGAGGTGTCTTTCAAATGTGGTGGAAATTCTCACCTCCCCTACTTTTAACCTCCATAATACCTTAAAATGTATTATTTGATTTTGGGTAACATGAACTCATTGCATTCTACATCTAGCCTTTTCCCTACATTAGTATAAATGAACTTACACTGTCTTTGCTTGCCTGTTTTATCATAATAAATTGTATGGGGCAGGAAACAAAAGAAAAAGGGCAGAATAAAGACAAAGTGAACGATTAAAAAGTCAAAAGCCAGGGCTGGCCAAATAGCTCAGTGGATTAAAGTGCCTGCAAGTAGTATCAAGGGCCTTGAATTAGATCCCCAGACCTTCCTTGCCGGCCCCACCCCCGGGGCACCCTGAGAGAGCAATTGAGACTGGGTGTGGTGGTGTGAGCCTATAATCCCAGCTCTTGGAAGGCTGTAAACAGGCGGATCACTGAGTCATTATCTAGTAGTGAGACCCCAAACACCCTGTAGACCTTTTATTAAAATAAAAGAAAAGTGAAGCGAAAATCCACATGAATGTAACCACAGTTTCTTAGTCTCCATATACCCCTGTGTTTTCCTCAAGAATGCTTTCCACCCCCCTGGTGGTACCAGGGATTGAACTCAGGACCTTGAGAGAATGCATTCTCTAGATCAGATGAAATTGAGTTTGCATTGCACAACTAGACTAAAGTCTCACTGTTGCAAATGTCTAGTAGACACAAATTTAAGGCTTATTCTAATATACCACATTATTTAGTGTATTTTTTACACTAAAAACTTTTATTTTTTAAAACCCCGGCTTGGTTGGCCCTTGCTTGCCTTCCCGTTCTTCCGGAGGCTTGGGCCAGGTTGTTCTTTTTTTTAGGGCCAGTTAGGGCACCTTGGCCCTTTGGGAAAACTCTGTCTCAAAATAAAAATATATAAAAGTTTGGCACCTCTGAAGGTCGATGATACAATCATGACTACTACCAAATAAAAGAACGAGGCAAGATGTGTGGAGAAATAGCTCAGCAGACTAAATGCCTGCTTTGGCAAGTTCAGGGACCAGCGTTTGAACCTTATTCTCACATGCCATGCTGGCCTCATCCCTGGGACATGCTGACCCCTCAACTGTGTTCAGACATGGTGGTACGGGCCTGTAGTCCCAGCCCTGGGGAGGCTGAAAATAGGAGGATCACTATAAGTCCAGGCTGTCTAGTGAGACTCCAATCAGCTTCTTAGGTTTCACTAAAACTGCCCCTCAGACTCTGTCCCTAGCAAAAGTCTATATAGCACCAAAGGCACTTTGTCTCAGATCAAAGTACCTGTGCATGTCACACAGATTCTCTCCATGTCCTCAGAGATAATAAAGCCACCCCTCTTTCTTTCACTTGCATATCTCTCATGAGTTGGTCAAAAAACATAACAAAAAGACTACCTGATGCATGCATCAGGCTTGAGGGATCAACTAGACATGAAACAAGACATTCCAGCCCCTGTTCCCTAAAGCCTCATGCACATCCCTTCATACAAGAGGCATTTTAGTCCATCTGTAAGAGTTGCCAAAATCCTAACAGTTTCAGCATTGTTGAGAAGTGCATGTCCCAAGTCTCCTGGGAGAATTAAGGCAGATTTGCATGTGAGTCCTTGTACAAAAGAAAATTGAAACACTTTCACCACTCAACAGCACAACAAAAGCATTATCAAATATTCCAAAATGTACAAACAAGGGTCCCAAAGCATTGGGACCATAGCGAGTCCTAAACCCATCAGGGTAAACATTATTTCCTGTAGCTCTACGTGGAATGGCAGAATCAATCTGTGAGCACCACGTGGCTACACATCCAGGGTGCTTGGTGTTCTGAGCTCCCATGCCACCCCTCAGGCCTACTCTG